TTCCTTCCTTCCTTCCTTCCTTCCTTCCTTCCTTCCTTCCTTCCTTCCTTCCTCTTAATTACAATTTATCCATCTATTTATTTATTTATGTGTGCACATGCCAAAGCATGAGGTCAGGAGAGAGCTGGTGGAAGTCAAGGCTCTCCTGCCATGTGGGTCGGTCTTGGAAGCATGCTCTTTTACGCCCCGAGTCATCTCACTGGACCTCAGAGACCTTCATTTGTCAAGGGCCAGATACGGATGTGCTTCGCCCAGTCTCTCCCATAGTTCCCCTGCGTATTCTCTGTGTGGTAAGACCGGACATGTGCCAGGCGTGGTGCCTGAGGTCTGTAACCCAAGCATTCTGGGAACTAAGGCAGGAAGATTTTTTGAGCTCACGTCCAGATTGGACTCCATAGCAATACCGTATTTTTAAAGTTGGGGCGGGGTATTTATGGGCTGTTCTTAATAGCAGGCACTGTGTTAGTTTAAACTTTCAGCGGCTCCCTGTACCCACCACTAAGCTGGGAGCCCTTACTCTAGGCCCTGCCCGGCCTGCCATGGCCTGCAGTTTTAGCATCTTCCTTTTCACACTCCACCTCTCAGGGAGACCACACAGTTCCCTGGTGCGTGTACCTTCCCCTGCTCTTAGCGATTGTTTCTCACTAGACTGGTTCCCGTTGGAACCCTCCCAGTACCTAGGCAGTGCCTGGCATTTAGGTGGACAGTGAATGTCAGTTGACTGACCAAATGAACAAACAACAGGCAACTGCAGCTCCAAGTCAATCACTTTAAGTTCTGTTCCTCAAGAGAACGTCTGCTTCTAAGCTGGCCTTTCTGTCATGTTCTCTTCCTAAGCATCTATGCCTGTGGTGTTCGCATCATAGAAACACCGAAGTCCATCACTTTTAATGAAGTTTATTTGAATTATGTTTGTGTCTGTGTTTGCATCTGTGCACGTGAGTGCAGTGCTGGCTGAGGCCAGGAGGGGGTGTCGGGTCCCCAGGAACTGGAGTTACAGATTCTATGAGTGGCCAGTGAGTACAGGGGACCAAACTCCTCTGCAAGAGCAGCACAAGCTCTTACCTCCATTTACCCAGCCCTCCACCCCATCCCAACCCCGGTTTCTGCCTCTCTCCTGGGTACCATTCCTTGGCTGGGCTGTTGATGCCTTCCTTACATCTTTCTCTTTTGTTGGGAAGCGGTTCCTTCCACAGCACTGCCCTGTGCATTTGACTCCTCTCCTGAAAGCCTTTCAGTAGCTTCTCTAACCTCCATTTCCAGTTGAAACTTTTTGCCTTGGCCCTCAGACCCACTGAGAGAGGACCAGCCTGCCCCTCCCATTGTACTTGGCAGTGTAGCATGGCAATGAGCTGTTTCTGTCTCTTTCCTTGGCAGAGTTCAAGGGCATTCTCAGCACTTGGTATCACGCTTGGAGTATAGGCAACGGTCACCCATGCTGGTTGTATGTCTGGGATTAGATAAACTGCCATTTGCCTCGGATCCTGAAGTGTTGATAATAATAGAGCATGGTGGTAAATTCGGAAAACATATCCTCAATGAGATAGGAAGAGAACTGCGGTAGACACCAGTTAGTGGGCACGTTCTTATTCTAAGCACTTAATGTGCTTTATCTTTACATTCTGGGATGGATCCAATTGCTTTGGTTTGATTGACAAGAACCGGCAGGCACGTCTGGTGCGAAAGGCCAACCTTTCGTCTTTTCGGGTGTGTGCCTTCTGCTCCGAATTCATGAATAACTCCATCCAGATGGTAAATCAAGGGAGTCTCTGGGAGCCAGAGGGTGTCAGATAGTAAATCAAGGACCCCTGTGGGAGATGGACAGTAGCAAGGTAGCTAATGTTTTTGAAGTTGAACTCTGGGATCGGCTGGCCCACAGTAGACATCCGTGAACCTTTTTGTAACCTCTTCTCCAGCCACCGTGGTTGGGAATTCTGTGAAGGGCTCTGGGGCCTGTATAGCACAGGATTAAATAGGCAGAGCCCAGTAGGGAGACAACTAGTGCAGCTGTGCAAAACCCTTCAGTCTTGGTGAGTTTGGGCAAGCTTCTTACTTCTCTGAGCCTCTTTCCTCACCTCTGACATGGCTACAATGGCCGGGCCTACTCTAGAGGATAAAGAAGATAAAGAAGATAACTCGTGTAAATTATCACCTGGGACTTGGTTCACAGGAAGCATCCAGCGTTGGTAGAGCGAAGGTGGGGAGGCTGCATTCAGTCCTGGGGGGGGAGGGGCAGCTGAACAGACAAACGCAAGGACCAGCTGGCAAATGAACGCATGGTTTAGCACAGCGAAGTCAGGCGGAAAAGGACAGATCCAGAGGGATACAAGGCAGAAAGTGCTTCCCGGTGACTGAGCCTGCCTGGGTCCCAGCCTGTGGGCACTCCTGACCCTGTCACCTCTGCCAGTTTTCCAGCAACGCTTGACTTGTATAGCCCTTCTCCTGCCATGTCAATTCCACCGAAATTAGCTTGACCAGTAATAGAAAGAAAATCTGGTCAACTTTGAGCACAGGGGTGAGCCAGAAGGTGGAGCTAATAAGGGAGGTGTCTCGAGCAGGATTACTGTTGCTGTGATGAAACTCCATGACCAAAAGCAACTTGGGGAGGAGAGGGTTTATTTTGCTTACATTTCTATTTCACAGCTCATCATCTGAGACAGTCAGGCCAGGAACTCAAACAGGGCAGGAACCTGGAGGCAGGAGCTGATGCAGAGGGCATGGAGGGGTGCTGCTCACTGGCTTGCTCCCCATGGCTTGCTCAGCCTGCTTTCTCATAGAACCAGGACCAGCAGCCCAGGGATGGCACCACCCACAATGGACTCAGCCCTGCTACAGCAATCACTGATTGTGAAAAATGCCCTATAGGCTTGCCTACAGCCCGAACTTTTGGATACATTTCCTCAGTTGGGATTTCCTCCTCTTTATCTGACTCAAGCTTTTGTCAGGTTCATATAAAAACTAGGCAGCACAAGAGGTGAATCAGGCCAAACTTGTCAGGAGATGGGGACCCTCAGAGATTCTATAGTCCAGCCCCATGCTTAGCATGTCAGAGAACAAGCCCAGAGATGGCATTTTTAAAGTTTTATTTATTATTATTATTTGCCCCCAAACACATGACAAGAGGTGGTAGGGCTAAGCTGAAACCAGTTAATGACTTTTTAATGCAGTCAAGGATGATCTAGTCTCCAAGGAGCATTTTACCTGCCACACATGGTGCTGGTCAGTATCATAACAAACAAACAAAAACAAAAGCTTTGCTCTCATCTCTGAGTCCTCATTAGCCAGTCCACCAGGGAAGCATCAGGTTTGGTCACGTGGCTAAAGTCAGGGGTGAAAGGAAGCTAAGATTAAGGCTTTTACCAGGTGGGGTAGGAGTGGGGTTCTGCAGAAACGGGAAGGCAGGAAGGCAGGGGAGAGTGAATAGTCTGGGATGGGCCAGTCTGAAGAATGTCTCTGGACTCGGCGCTTTTTCTAGTTGCCTAGTAACTGGCCCTGGGATGACTTAGGTCCAAAGAAATACTGGCTTGGTGTTCCAGAGGTTGTGACTGTGGCTGTAGACTGGTTGGTTTGCATAGGAAAGACATATTCCTGCGTAAGCCCTTGCTCTCTAAGATAGCCAGCGGGATTTGATATGGCTCCTTGTGAATGGGTTGCTTGGGTACCTTTAAACATTTGCATTGCCTTTTGTTACATTTCACACATGGCCAGAAGCAGGGAAAAAAATGCTGTCTTATCACCATATGATAGATTGGAGTTTGCAAGAGGAAGTCTAGACCTTGATGACGCTGAAGCACTATTCTTGTAATTTAAGCTAGGTGCCACTGGGTGGTGCTTAGAGTGTGGCCTGACTTCCTACAGGGGAAGCTAGCTGAGTTTCAGCTTCATTTTGTACTTTTCCTGACCTAAGTATATCTTTTCATGAACGAAAGAAAGAAAGAAAGA